CCAATATGTCGTGATGGACCGCCAGAAAGGACCAATATGTCGTGATGGACCGCCAGAAAGTACCAATATGTCGTGATGGACCGCCAGAAAGTACCAATATGTCGTGATGGACCACCAGAAAGGTTTGTAGTACTGAATTTGGACAAATCATAAAAGTTTTCATATTAATGTTGCTAACAAAGTCTAACCTAACCTCCCTAGGCCTATTACACGCTATCTGAGGCCTAATATAGTACACATATATGTGCTATACTAGACCTAGGAATATTTTTTTGGGGGGAGGGGGCTTTTTTCCGGACTATAAAAACAGTACAAAAAGTGGCTTACTGGGGCTCCATTGCTACATATTGGTACGACTGCCAACATAGTTACAAAAACTACTATCATTACAGGATGATGAGTTACAGAGAGCGATACAGGCAGGTTCTACGTGGTGCTCCACTTTTCAGTTTAAGGACGTCACCCAAGTAGCTGGCTGCCTTTGGCGCTCTTTGCTGTTGTGATGTCTATGCAGCTGCACACTGTGGCAGCGAGTCTCATGTGGTTGCCCCAGCACAGGTATCTTCTACTTTAGGAACATGTGCCTGACTTGCTCGAACGTTCTCGACACATCTCTAAGCATTAGGCTCAGAGATCAGCACTAGGCTGTTCACTAGAACAGCACTAGGATGTTCTTGGTGGGTTTGTTATGCCCTCACGGCAAATGCTATATGCTCATGACCAGACCACACACTAGAATGCGAAGGGACGACGACGTTTCGGTCCGTCCTGGACCATTCTCAAGTCGGTTGTAGTCGATTGTTAAGTCGACAATCGACTTGAGAATGGTCCAGGACGGACCGAAACGTCGTCGTCCCTTCACCTTCTAGTGTGTGGTCTGGTCATCATACTTTAGCCACGTTATTGTGACTCATCGTCTGCTATATGCTCATATATCAGGGCTATAGCTGCATGAGTCTCTCTGTAGTTAGAGAACCCTTGTTGTCTGATGGTATATTTTGATTTACCTTCCATGTACTTCACCAGTCTTCACCAGTACTTCACCAGTCTTCACCAGTCTTCGTACTCCACCAGTCTTCACCAGTACTCCACCAGTCTTCACCAGTACTCCACCAGTCTTCACCAGTACTCCACCAGTCTTCACCAGTACTCCACCAGTCTTCACCAGTACTCCACCAGTCTTCACCAGTACTCCACTTTACATGTACTTCACCAGGTTAATTATTTTGTTGATATATTTTGCCCGGTATCTCGAGAAAAACGAAATTGGTTTATAATTTCCTGTTTGAGTTGGAAGTTTTCCTGGTTTGGGAAACTTGATAGTGGTTTTTCCCGTCTTTTTTCCCGTTTAGGTTTTTCCCGTCCGGATGCCAGGGCTGCATTGAATATTCGAGTTTTATGAATTAACGTCACTTGCAAGTTTGTGAATTATATTTTGTGTATATTGGTAAATGTCCAACAGCTTGGTTGACCAGTCCAGCAACCAGGAGGCCTGGTCGAGGACCGGGCCGCGGGGACCTTGAGCCCCGAAATCATGGCAAGGTAATGCCTGGTGCCTTGTTCTTAATACCTCGAGGGGTAGTGTGATGGTCTTGTGACCCAAATGTATATGAATAAATTAGATTCTCAAATTATACAGTGGCAGAAGTGGTTTTGGGAATGACTGGCTGCAACCCGTCCCCAGACCAAGTCCATTCCATCCAGCGGTCGACCCCAAAGACGCATTCATCAATTTTATCATGCTGTTCATTCAAAACAGATATTTTCTGAAATATAAATTAATATTGTTATATCTTAACATACTGTGCATATTTAGACATGGGTTAGGTTAGATGTTTAGGTTCTGTTGGCGATTATTTGTATCTGTAGTACGTGGGGTGAAGCATTTATAGCAACCCGTCTTCGACTCAAGTCCATTCCATCCAGCAGTCGACCCCACAGACCGATTCATAACTTTTAACATGCCGATCATTCGAAACGGGAATTTTCTCAAATATAAATTAATAGTATATTAGCATATTGTGCATATATAGGCATAGGTTAGGTTAGGTGTTTAGGTTCTGTTGGCGATTATTTGTATTTGTAGTACGTGGGTGAAGCATTTACAGCGTTGTGGCTCGAACAAAATTCGTCAGTGAAGCACTTGTTCCGGAAGTGTTCGAACTTCATCACTTGTGAGTCGTGTGTAAACTGTTTTTCATTCATAAACAGGGGGTTTGGCGGGTGCATGGAATGGACTTTGGGCCTTAGAGGACGGGCTGCTGAATGGGCTGGGTATGGAAGCGGATATTGTCAAGACATCTGAAACGCCAGATTGTCGGAGTCCTTAGAAACGCGGCCACAAATTATATGAGACTGACAGTACTTTAAGGACATGTTGACAACCGGTAGCTATAGCCAGACACGGTCTGGGAAGCTATGGTCAATGACGTGTTACGTGGAGGGCCAGAGGGCACGGATGTGGTGCCACGGACTCGTCTGCACGGTGACACGACCAAGATGGCACACCTCAACACGAGAAGCTCCATACTAAGATGACTCCATAGACTGCTTCACGTGTAGATATGATAGAGCCCAGTAGGCCCAGGAACCTGGGGCCAGATTCACCAAGCAGTTACGCAAGTATTTACGAACGTGTACATCTTTCCTCAATCTTTGACGGCTTTGGTTACATTTATTAAACAGTTTACAAGTCTGAAAACTTGCCAATCAACTGTTGTTATTGTTATAAACATCCTCCTGGTGCTTCGGAGCTCATTAACTGTTTAATAATTGTAAACAAAACCGCCAAAGATTGAGAAAAGATGCACAGGTTCGTAAGTGCTTGTGTAACTGCTTCGTGAATCTGGTCCCTGTACATTGACAGTTGAGAGGCGGGACCAAAGAGCCAGAGCTCAACCCCCGCAAGCACAACTAGGCGAGTACAATTAGGCAATTAGGTTAGGATTGTGGGCCGGCGGGACGCTGCCTGGGGGGGGGGGGTTAATGACCCCAGGTGGTGTTTGCGGAAATATAATTACTGATGACTCTTGTATATGCTTGTGATTATATGTATATCAATTATTAACTGTGTTTATGTATCATCCTGTGTGTGGCCTTGCCAGATATGGCAGCCTCCATGACACACTACGGTATATGATGAACATGATATATTAATATGATGTGATTATATATATAACACTGAATATGATGATATATTGACATAGTATTGTAACAACAGGAAGGAGTGGTGTGGCGGGAGGGTGGGTTACTGTGGGTGAGGGTGGTGTGGCGGGAGGGTGGGTTACTGTGGGTGAGGGTGGTGTGGCGGGAGGGTGGGTTACTGTGGGTGAGGGTGGTGTGGCGGGAGGGTGGGTTACTGTGGGTGAGGGTGGTGTGGCGGGAGGGTGGGTTACTGTGGGTGGGGGTGGTGTGGCGGGAGGGTGGGCAGCAGCAGCAGGTGGGTGTGGCGGGAGGGTGGGCAGCAGCAGGTGGGCGGTGTGGCAGGAGGGTGGGCAGCAGCAGCAGGTGGGTGTGGCGGGAGGGTGGGCAGCAGCAGGTGGGCGGTGTGGCGGGAGGGTGGGCAGCAGCAGGTGGGTGGTGTGGCGGGAGGGTGGGCAGCAGCAGGTGGGTGGTGTGGCGGGAGGGTGGGCAGCAGCAGGTGGGTGGTGTGGCGGGAGGGTGGGCAGCAGCAGGTGGGTGGTGTGGCGGGAGTGTGGGCAACAGCAGGTGGGTGGTGTGGCGGGAGGGTGGGCAGCAGCAGGTGGGTGGTGTGGCGGGAGGGTGGGCAACAGCAGGTGGGTGGTGTGGCGGGAGGGTGGGCAGCAGCAGGTGGGTGGTGTGGCGGGAGGGTGGGCAACAGCAGGTGGGTGGTGTGGCGGGAGGGTGGGCAGCAGCAGGTGGGTGGTGTGGCGGGAGGGTGGGCAGCAGCAGCAGGTGGGTGGTGTGGCGGGAGGGTGGGCAGCAGCAGGTGGGTGGTGTGGCGGGAGGGTGGGTAGCAGCAGGTGGGTGGTGTGGCGGGAGGGTGGGCAGCAGCAGGTGGGTGGTGTGGCGGGAGGGTGGGCAGCAGCAGGTGGGTGGTGTGGCGGGAGGGTGGGCAGCAGCAGGTGGGTGGTGTGGCGGGAGGGTGGGTAGCAGCAGGTGGGTGGTGTGGCGGGAGGGTGGGCAGCAGCAGGTGGGTGGTGTGGCGGGAGGGTGGGCAGCAGCAGGTGGGTGGTGTGGCGGGAGGGTGGGCAGCAGCAGGTGGGCGGTGTGGCGGGAGGGTGGGCAACAGCAGGTGGGTGGTGTGGCGGGAGGGTGGGCAGCAGCAGGTGGGTGGTGTGGCGGGAGGGTGGGTAGCAGCAGCAGGTGGGTGGTGTGGCGGGAGGGTGGGCAGCAGCAGGTGGGTGGTGTGGCGGGAGGGTGGGCAGCAGCAGCAGGTGGGTGGTGTGGCGGGAGGGTGGGCAGCAGCAGGTGGGTGGTGTGGCGGGAGGGTGGGTAGCAGCAGGTGAGTGGTGTGGCGGGAGGGTGGGCAGCAGCAGCAGGTGGGTGGTGTGGCGGGAGGGTGGGCAGCAGCAGGTGGGCGGTGTGGCGGGAGGGTGGGCAGCAGCAGCAGGTGGGTGGTGTGGCGGGAGGGTGGGCAGCAGCAGGTGGGTGGTGTGGCGGGAGGGTGGGTAGCAGCAGGTGGGTGGTGTGGCGGGAGGGTGGGCAGCAGCAGGTGGGTGGTGTGGCGGGAGGGTGGGCAGCAGCAGCAGGTGGGTGGTGTGGCCGGAGGGTGGGCAGCAGCAGGTGGGTGGTGTGGCGGGAGGGTGGGTAGCAGCAGGTGGGTGGTGTGGCGGGAGGGTGGGCAGCAGCAGCAGGTGGGTGGTGTGGCGGGAGGGTGGGCAGCAGCAGGTGGGCGGTGTGGCGGGAGGGTGGGCAGCAGCAGCAGGTGGGTGGTGTGGCGGGAGGGTGGGTAGCAGCAGGTGGGTGGTGTGGCGGGAGGGTGGGCAGCAGCAGCAGGTGGGTGGTGTGGCGGGAGGGTGGGCAGCAGCAGCAGGTGGGTGTGGCGGGAGTGATAGTGTGCCAGTATGGGTGGTGTGGAGGCAGGTGTGTGGCCACCACAACCACCACAACCGTCCTGCTGGCCGCCAGCACTCCCTCCACCACCTCGACACTCCCAACATGTGAGTCACTTCCAAAGTTGAAGTCAAAAAGAATTACTCAAAAAAATAATTAATTTACATCAATCATAATTCTGCATATATTATAATACAAATTATCTAACCATTTATTAATTCTTACACATACTTCATGGCATGAAAAATGAACGAATCTTCATGAAAATCTGAAGATAATTTGTATTTCATTCATATTCAACTCATGACAATCAACCTTTCAGTATAAAGTGTCTAAGTTAATTAAATCAAAATAATCATCTGGCGTACCAAGTTTTGATTTAGAGAGAAGATATGGTGGTATTCCCAGAGACTAATAACAGATTTGAAATAATAAAACACGTATATAATAATATCGAATTTGAATGTTAATATAACGTGCAAGAGAGATTAAGTTTATATGTATATAAAATCGTTCTTTTCAAGCAAATAAGCAACGTGAATGCTTGTATTAATATTTTCAATTCAACACATGAATTGTGTATATTTTGATGCCAGTCTACCTTCGTAGCCTCCTCGTCCGACCTAAATACAAACATACATATTACGAGAAAGTATAATTTGTGCTTGTGGCTGAGCCCAGCTGAATGGTATAGTGCTATCTTGAGGTTATCTTGAGATGATTTCGGGGCTTTTTAGTGTCCCCGCGGCCCGGTCCTCGACCAGGCCTCCACCCCCAGGAAGCAGCCCGTGACAGCTGACTAACACCCAGGTACCTATTTTACTGCTAGGTAACAGGGGCATAGGGTGAAAGAAACTCTGCCCAATGTTTCTCGCCGACGCCTGGGATCGAACCCAGGACCACAGGATCACAAGTCCAGCGTGCTGTCCGCTCGGCCGACCGGCTCCCTGCTAGGCTTATAAGGCCTATATATCAACCTGTGGAGGATTATTAAGGTCACCACAATAGTGTACTGGGAACTTGGGTATAGGATCTACATAACATGTCCCCTCAACTTGGCCTGTGGAATAATACATCGTATTTTGACGTCAAAATCCACAACGGACAAAGTATGATGATAATAATAAATCATAAAGCAAAAAAACAACCCGCAAAAGTTCCCATTTTTTATGCTTGGGTTGACGGTTAGGTTAGGTTCGGCCAATTTTAGAACATAATTTTCGTGACGTGACAACTCGAGAGGACGGGCTGAACAGTGTTATCGCGACCGCTCTCGCGATTTGCCACTCCCCTAAAAAATGCAACTGTATTTTGCATTTTAGAACGCCTAGTAGAACGCCTAGCCAGAAACGTTCGAACCTAACCCACCCACCTCACCTGATGGAGGACGAGGCTATAAACCGTCACTATTAATATGCATTAATTTTACTAATAACCCCCCAATTTTGACGGAATGGGCGATTGCGTTATAAATGTGATGTATTTGGGGTGATTACAGGCTGTATCGGGGGGGGGGGAGGGAGGGGGTTACCATTTATTTATTTATTTATTTTATTTATATACAAGAAGGTACATAGGATTTGAGAGAATACATAGCATAGTATTTACAATCTTGTAAAGCCACTAATACGCGCAGCGTTTCGGGCAGGTCCTTAATCTAACAGAAAATTGTAAGTAGGTAAATATAATATAATACCATATGACACTTCCCGCGTTGATATTCTCGTTGCCCTTGCGGCTGCTCCGTTGTTCATGCCTCTAGAATGCTTTTGTTTTTAGTTCAATTATTATGCACTCTATATCCATCCTGTGTATAGTGGTGGACCCCCATATATGACCTTCCTGTGAATGGTAGTGAACCCATACCCTTCCTGTGAGTGGTAGTGAGCCCCCATACCCTTCCTGTGAGTGGTAGTGGGCCCCCATACCCTTCTTGTGAGTGGTAGTGAGCCCCCATACCCTTCCTGTGAGTGGTAGTGGGCCCCCATACCCTTCCTGTGAGTGGTAGTGGGCCCCCATACCCTTCTTGTGAGTGGTAGTGAGCCCCCATACCCTTCCTGTGAGTGGTAGTGGGCCCCCATACCCTTCCTGTGAGTGGTAGTGGGCCCCCATACCCTTCCTGTGAGTGGTAGTGAGCCCCCATACCCTTCTTGTGAGTGGTAGTGAGCCCCCATACCCTTCCTGTGAGTGGTAGTGGGCCCCCATACCCTTCCTGTGAGTGGTAGTGAGCCCTCATACCCTTCCTGTGAGTGGTAGTGGGCCCCCATACCCTTCCTGTGAGTGGTAGTGAGCCCCCATACCCTTCCTGTGAGTGGTAGTGGGCCCCCATACCCTTCCTGTGAGTGGTAGTGAGCCCCCATACCCTTCCTGTGAGTGGTAGTGAGCCCCCATACCCTTCCTGTGAGTGGTAGTGAGCCCCCATACCCTTCCTGTGAGTGGTAGTGGATTGCGTCCTCTTGTGTTGCCACAACGGAGTTTTAATGATGTACTGAAACGCACAAACTTACCGGTATAGGTCGAGCATCAACATGGCTCTCCGTAGTTGGGGACAGGCAGCCTGCTAAGGTCATCGAAGTCCCCATAGGCCAACCACTTGGCTCATTATGCACCCCGACAGCAGTTACACACAGTGGACTCCGGGTTGTGTAACTTTTAGCATATCATAGTCCATGGGTAAAGCACGGGCGTCTGGGGGGCCAGGATTTGTATTTGATTGTTGCCGCTAGGGGCGAATAGTTTATACTCATCCTGTGAGCGGTAGCGCAAAAAGCATTACAGAGGGCACAAAAAGTCTTGATTAGACCTCAATGGAGATTATTACATAAACAATTTCATCTATCCTTCACACTATAATTACAATGTCAGCTAGTGTATATCCATTTGTATACTTGAAATTTTATCCGACAGTGTATATGGTCTGTACTATTTTTTTTAGTTTGTATATTGTGAATGGGTTCCTGGGTGCTTAATTTAGCAGTAAGCTGGGCATGAGAGTTGTTTGTGATTAGTTTCTTGGTGGGGCATGCAGGGGTCAGGATGTCAAAAGGTACTATCTGCGCTGGCTCCATTTCGGCATCCTGCTCCAGGGATTGTCTCATCTACAGTTGTCTAACTCCCAGGTACCTATTTGCTGCTAGGTGAATATACATATGAAATGAGAATGTTTCTGTCCTGCTACAGGAATTGTTCCCGGGATCTTTCGGATGTGACCCGACTGCGCTGATAATAGGCAATCGAAGAGTAATATATATATATATATATATATATATATATATATATATATATATATATATATATATATATATATATATATATATATATATATATATATATATATATATATATATATATATATATATATATATATATATGTGTGTGTGTATCGACTCAGGGCGGAACATATTAGGCACCTGTAGCCTGGTGCCTCTCCCCGCCTCTGAGTTAAGCAGTGTTTGCCTGGCCGTGCTGCCGATATGTTGGTAGTAGTAACAACTCTAACACACTACCTTCCGCCCTACCCATATCTATATTATATATATCTATATTATATATATATATATATATATATATATATATATATATATATATATATATATATATATATATATATATATCTATATCTATATTATATATATATATATCTATATATATATATATATATATATATATATATATATATCTATATTATATATATATATATATATATATATATATTATATATATATCCAGCGCCTCAGTGTCGTGGTCCAGAGAAGAAATGCGTGCACAATCGACTTGATAATGGTCCAGGAGGGACCGAAACATCGTCGTCTCTTCACTTTCTAGTGTGTGGTCTGGTCAACATATATATATATATATGTCTAAACCTACGCTTGAAACAGTGCAGCGATCCTGGGGTCTATTATGTTACCCTGTGGGAGGGAGAACCATCCCTGACTACTAAGCTGTCAGGCCATGTAAGCTTGAACACTTTAAGCTCAACCAATTGTGGTTGAGCTGGTGGCACCAGAGAACCTGGCAGTGTGAGAGTAGAGTGTGATGTGGCTGTTGCGATGCCACACACACACACACACACACACACACACACACACACACACACACACACACACACACACACACACACACACACACACACACACACACACACGAGTGCAAAGATTGATGATCTTTGATTGATGATGATGATGATCTCAGGCAAGCCACGAAGGTGCCACCCAAATGTATCATTTGTAAATATTCTTCTAGCGTATTTAAGCCCTTGGTGACACAAGGTCTTGCCTGACCAAGTGCTCCCAGAGCCTCCAAATGGTACCGAGGTCTGCTAGTATGCCGGTACACTGCCAGGACCCCTATACACTGGGGAAGGCGTGCACGACACACCACACCCAGCAGGAGAGTCAGTCTATCTGGGCGCGTCTCCCGACTGCCATATTACGGGCTATTCATGCCCGTGCCACCTTTGGAGTAATCTCTATCAATCAGTCTTACAGCCACAGCATTGGTGAGCAAAATTCCTCTTCAGCTCAAACTACTTCACAGGCGCCACCAACAAGGACGCTCGATGCGATAAAATAACCAACATTACAGACACTATATACACCTTCCGCTTCTCCTTGTAAAAATAAACAGTATATTTTTGTCCAGGACTATGTTCAGGGCTCAAATATGCTTGCTGGTTGGTCAGTAAGTTGTTGTAGTGGCCTTAGCACTCAAGAGGTTGACACGCCTTAAGCCCAACACCTAAGACAACAGTACTGAAGCAAGTGAGAGACAGAACCTCAAGACAAATCACAGAACACACCTGGAGGGCCACAGCACAAGACCCAATGCATGAAGAACAACCTAACCACATTACAATGTAAATGCAATGGAATCCGTACCAGATTTCAACTCAAAGTTCAAAGGTTTTTATAAGTTCCTCTGCTCTCATTGTGAAAGAAAACGGAGCTTTATCACGTATCAATGATAGGTCCTATCACGTAATACAAAATATGGTCGGTTGAACCCCGAAATGCCGATATTTTGTTCTACTGGAGTGCTAAAGAGCATTATATGATTACAACCCATCAAAAGAACTGTTCCCAGGTTTAAATCAATATTTACCCAGGTCTTTGCTGTATCTAAACTAACGAACTTGAATTTTTTTTGTTTAATTTGGCCTCGAGGGGCGAGTTTATTGGGCAGCGCCACTCATCTTGTGAATGGACATACCGCCATAGCAGCATGTACAACACTCCCCAATAGGAAGAAAACCCGCTTGGCTGTTCATCCTTCATTGTTTTGACTTCTATTTTATATTGATATACAGTACTTAACATATTAATATTACTCTTTGTTATACTCTTTTATCCATTTGTATACTTGAAATTTGAGCAATTATGTCACTCCGTACTCTTCATCTTTCTAGAGAATGTAAGTTAAGCTTTCTTAATACGCCATGTTCCCTCACAGGATGAGTGGTCCAATACTGTCTCTCTCTCCCCTCCCTCCCTTCCTCATAACTAATCCCTCATCTCCGTCCCTCACAACTAATCCCTCCCTCACAACTCAGGTGCACTGTCCTACGACGCAGGAGGGACCAGACGTGCATGGCCGTGACTGGCCTTGTGACAATGGTGACAGTGTGCTTACTGACCATCAGCAGGTCTCCAAGTGTCTCTGAGCTCCAGGACAGTTACCAGGAGTTCTCCAGCTCCGTGTACCACCGTCTGGAGGAGCTGCGGAGAGTGAAAGGTGAGGGCAGGTGTGTGCAGTGTGAAGGTGAGGGCAGGTGTGTGCAGTGTGAAGGTGAGGGCAGGTGTGTGTAGTGTGAAGGTGAGGGGCAGGTGTGTGCAGTGTGAAGGTGAGGGGCAGGTGTGTGCAGTGTGAAGGTGAGGGGCAGGTGTGTGTAGTGTGAAGGTGAGGGTAGGTGTGTGCAGTGTGAAGGTGAGGGCAGGTGTGTGTAGTGTGAAGGTGAGGGGCAGGTGTGTGTAGTGTGAAGGTGAGGGCAGGTGTGTGTAGTGTGAAGGTGAGGGTAGGTGTGTGTAGTGTGAAGGTGAGGGCAGGTGTGTGTAGTGTGAAGGTGAGGGCAGGTGTGTGTAGTGTGAAGGTGAGGGGCAGGTTTGTGTAGTGTGAAGGTGAGGGCAGGTTTGTGTAGCGTGAAGGTGAGGGTAGGTGTGTGTAGTGTGAAGGTGAGGGCAGGTGTGTGTAGTGTGAAGGTGAGGGGCAGGTGTGTGTAGTGTGAAGGTGAGGGTAGGTGTGTGTAGTGTGAAGGTGAGGGCAGGTGTGTGTAGTGTGAAGGTGAGGGCAGGTGTGTGTAGTGTGAAGGTGAGGGTAGGTGTGTGTAGTGTGAAGGTGAGGGCAGGTGTGTGTAGTGTGAAGGTGAGGGGCAGGTTTGTGTAGTGTGAAGGTGAGGGCAGGTTTGTGTAGTGTGAAGGTGAGGGGCAGGTGTGTGCAGTGTGAAGGTGAGGGGCAGGTGTGTGTAGTGTGAAGGTGAGGGCAGGTTTGTGTAGTGTGAAGGTGAGGGGCAGGTGTGTGTAGTGTGAAGGTGAGGGGCAGGTGTGTGTAGTGTGAAGGTGAGGGGCAGGTGTGTGTAGTGTGAAGGTGAGGGGCAGGTGTGTGTAGTGTGAAGGTGAGGGGCAGGTTTGTGTAGTGTGAAGGTGAGGGGCAGGTTTGTGTAGTGTGAAGGTGAGGGGCAGGTTTGTGTAGTGTGAAGGTGAGGGCAGGTGTGTGTAGTGTGAAGGTGAGGGAAGGTGTGTGTAGTGTGAAGGAGCTTCGAAGATTGCAAGGTGAGGCAGTATTTGTATACAAACTATATATTAATCATTAATACTAACTACCAATTAATAACTGTGACCAAGATACGCCCCGTCGGGTGATGTGTTCGTGTCACGACCGGTCCAACAGTTTACCGCTGCCACGGTTCGAATCCTTGAGCGGTCATTAGAGTTGACATCTGTGAGATTGATTCAAGGACCATTCAAGCTTTACACACACACATTTCTGCCCTTGGACGTAAGGTAAGGTCACACATGTAAGGTCAGGGTCTCTACAATGTAATAATTCACCCCGTTCTGAGTGGCCGTTCTGTATAATAAATGCAACTGTTTAATTTTAACTGATTGGTGGTAAAACAGAGACGTGTGTGTGTGTTGCAGGGTGTGAGGGAGAGGCCGGGGACGGTGCTCCACACGCCTCAACACATCACCACCTTCCAACCATCTACATTATCACCCCAACCTACAAGCGCCCCGAGCAGGTCAGCATTTAACCAACGCACAACGTAACGGTAACTTTTATTAAAGAGAAGTCTGGGACAGTACACGTTTCCTTGTATATCTGATATCGCTAATCATCTAGCCGTAAACACCTACCCAGGAGTTTGGAAAAGCTGTTGTGGGTTGTATCCTCAGGATCGTCGGTCATTTGGTCTATAGGGAGACCTTTCAACATGTCCCCTTACCGGACACTGTACTAGTGTATATCTTACGCCATGAACCCCAGCATAAAAATCGCAGTGGTTCAATTCAATTTCTTTCTTTATTATGCACCCCATACCCATCCCGTGGGCGGTGGTGTAAAGGATTACAGAGACACATAATCGGTTCAGGAACTGAACCCTCTAGTTCGTTTAGCTAAGCAGTGGTTCAGGGACATTAAAAACCACCAAATATTGACGCTTCTTGGGAATAATGAATATCGTAAGGTGGATTGCCTGTTCTTAAGTTTTGACGCTATGGGGCATTTTAAGGGGCTTTACAGCTGAGTGGACAGCGCTTCGGATTCGTAGTTCTAAGGTTCCGGATTCGATCCCCGGTGCAGGCAGAAACCAATGGACAGAGTTTCTTTCACCCTGATGCACATATTCACATAGCAGTGAATAGGTACCTGGGAGTTAGACAGCCGCTACGGGCTGCTTCATGGGAGTGTGTAACAAAAAGGAGGTCTGGTCGAGGACCGGGTCGCGGGAACGCTAACCCCCGAAATCATCTCAAGATAACCTCAAGATGGGTTAGGCGACCACAGCGCGTCCTCCTAGGCTAAACCACTGTATTTTGTGCGGAGTGCTCGAGAGAACGGGGTCCAAACAAGCTTAACAGGATTCGTTAACTTCATCAATAGGAAACGAGTACGGAAAAAATAACGAATTCGCCTTTGGCGACGGCTTCTGCTTGGACGAGCTATATCGTGAAGATGAGTTGGTGACGACCCCGGCTTCTTGAGAAAATTGATTTGATTTGTTGAGTATAGCCTGAGAATGGCTTGAGGTAGCAACCTGTCCTCTTAAAAAGAACGTCGCTTTTGGCCGTTTGCCCGTATGGCCGAATATGGACGTAATTTGAAAATGAAAAAAAATTGAAAATAAATTAGGGATTTCTTTTTTCAACAACAATAAGTTAAGGGTCCTCTGATAGGTTAGGTGGGCAGGAAATTCTCATAAAGTTTCAAAACGTTATGAAAAACGTTAATTGAAAGTTCCTCTTCTAAGCTGTCCGCGTACGCCGGACGACTCAAACAGAAAACGGAACAGTACGTCACTTTTGTGAGTCGATTTCATTTCAAATTACGTCCAAATTTGGCCATAGTGCGCATACGAGCCAAAAGTGACGTTATTTTTAAGAGGACGGGTTGAGACCATAGCTTAGACGAGTATATCCTGAGAACAAATTACCAAACTGTAATGACTCTCTTCAAGTCCTCCCTAACGACCTTTACTCTGAGAACCAGACACTACGACATTATGGCTTCAAGAGGATTTCAACAATCAACGAAATCCCCCCCTCCCCTCCTGCCCGTCCCTATCCGTCTCTGTCCGTCCCTGTCCGTCCCTGCCCGTCCCTGTCCGTCCCTCGTCAAGATAACCAGTGATAACAATACCTATTATCAGCTGTTACCTTTAACTTGTGATTTCCTCTTTATGGTGACGTTGTGTCCTTAACTGGGCCCCAAAACATAAAAATGTTTATTGTAATGTTTGTCATGGTCCCCTTGGATAATAATAATAATAATAATAATAATAATAATGGACAGTGTGTCAGCCCGTTCTGCTGATTTCAGAAGCGTCAGATTTGAAGTGATTTCTGTATAAATCTATCCACCCACCTAACCTATCAAGGCGAATTATCTATTCTAGCTTCAATTGTTTTGCTTTCGTATCTGTTCCTGTTCTTCCTTTTTTCCTTGCCTCTTGTCTTAGTTTCTCTATTAATCTTTGCTCGCCTTCCTGTTTTTTTTGTCTTTAGTACATTCTAATTTTCACAAATCCATGGGGATTATGTTTGGGAGCCATTTTTAAAGGGGGGGTCAAAGTATATCTTTCGCAATTAATGGAGTTGAATGACATCAGTCCCAAGCCTATACTCATTATCCTAGTTGTGTGCAGTCGTTGTTTCCGAGGTCACATAGCTGACTCGCATGGCAATGTCAGAGACAGTGCTCTCTTCCCGCACACAGCTGACTCGCATGGCAATGTCAGAGACAGTGATCATTTCCCTCACACACCTGACTTGCATGGCAATGTCAGAGACAGTGATGACTTCCCTCACACTTCCCATCTAGTGGTGTGCACATTGAAGGTATTCATCATCTCCTCCGTGGTCACGTACCTCACTCACCCGGAAATGTCTAGCACAGTTATCCTTATCTCATTCCCATTTTTATATCATCTCTTTTAATACATACTATTAAATGCCGCGTTCTGGTATCTCAGAATTCTCACTATCGGGTGCTACTTAAATGAGACGTCTGTAATTCTTTTACTGATATGAAACAATGGGTCATTTCCTGTTTCTCAACTGCCCAATATTAAGTAAAGTGATTTGCTGGCTAACGGGCTGTCTGATTCGCTGGCTAGCAAATTGACTGACTGACTGCCTGACTGACAGGCTGTCTGTGTGCTTGCTGACGTTTGCTAGCTTGCTTTCTCACTAATTGGCTGATTTTCTAACTGACCTGCTGATAAATCATCAGATATTTTATGACTGACTTACTGATTGATTGGCTGACTACCTAGCTGACTCTGAGGCATGCCTACAGATGCCCGAGCTGACGAGGCTCGCTCAGACGCTGCTGAGCGTACCCAACATCCACTGGATCGTCGCTGAGGACAGCAACACAACCAACACTCAAGTTGTTGAGTTCCTTAAGTACATCCGTCTACCATACACCTACTTGCTGAGTAAGTCTACTGCCTCTACACCTACTTGCTGAGTAAGTCTACTGCCTCTACACCTACTTGCTGAGTAAGTCTACTGCCTCTACACCTACTTGCTGAGTAAGTCTACTGCCTCTACACCTACTTGCTGAGTAAGTCTACTGCCTCTACACCTACTTGCCGAGTAAGTCTACTGCCTCTACACCTACTTGCCGAGTAAGTCTACCGCCTCTACACCTACTTGCCGAGTAAGTCTACTGCCTCTACACCTACTTGCCGAGCAAGTCTACTGCTTCTACACCTACTTGCCGAGTAAGTCTACTGCCTCTACACCTACTTGCCGAGTAAGTCTACTGCCTCTACACCTAATTGCCGAGTAAGTCTACTGCCTCTACACCTACTTGCTGAGTAAGTCTACTGCCTCTACACCTACTTGCTGAGTAAGTCTACTGCCTCTACACCTACTTGCTGAGTAAGTCTACTGCCTCTACACCTACTTGCTGAGTAAGTCTACTGCCTCTACACCTACTTGCTGAGTAAGTCTACTGCCTCTACACCTACTTGCTGAGTAAGTCTCAGACATGGAAATAATGAGTAAATTTAGTCAGCAAATAGTCGTGATGAGTAAATTTATTTAGCAAATTGCAGCAATGAGTAAATTTACTCAGCAAATAGGTGTTCAGATTAGATTTACTAAGCAGCTGGGTGTAAAAGAACTTACTCATCTGTAGGTGTAGAGAAAGTAGACTTACTCATCAAGTATGTATAGAGTAAGTAGATTTATTCATGAAGTAGGTGCAGAGAAAGTAGACTCATCTAGTAGGTGTAAAGCAGACTTAATCTACACATAATTGATGAGTAAGTCTACGTTCTCTACACCTACTGATGAGTAAGTACTGTCCATATACTCACCTGCTGAGTAATAAGCTACTCATCTCAATGTCTAAAGTAAGAGAAAGTTCCCTCTCTATATTTTGGTGGTAAGTTCTATTCATATTCTTAACTAATGAGTAAGTTCTTCTACATCCAACTGCTTAGTAAGTCTAATATGAACACCTATTGATGAGTAAATTTACTCACTGTGTCTAATTACTAAGTAAATTTATTTTATGAGTAAATTTACTAATTATTTCCATGTAAAAGCCAATCTACTGTGGACGACCACTCATGATACTCTGATACTCACCGAGTTAAAAAACACTTAAGTTCGTTCTATATATTTAGCTGATGAGTAAGTTCCAATCCTAGCTGACGAGTAAGTTCCAATCCTAGCTGACGAGTAAGTTCCAATCCTAGCTGACGAGTAAGTTCCAATCCTAGCTGACGAGTAAGTTCCAATCCTAGCTGACGAGTAAGTTCCAATCCTAGCTGATGAGTAAGTTCCAATCCTAGCTGATGAGCGAGTTCACTTCTTATGAGGAACTTTTGAATACATCCTCCATAATCACATCTGTATCCCACCATACTCACCCTCTCCCCACCATACTCACCCCTCTCCCCACCACTGCCACCATACTCATCCCCCCCCAACGACACCATACTCATCCCCCTCTCTCCACCGCCACCATACTCATCCCCCTCTCTCCACCAGCACCCATGCCCGAGGTCTTCAGGAACCCACAGCTGCTGGCGCAGCCAAAGGGCGTGGCCAACAGGAACGCCGGCATGGACTGGGTTCGCGTCCACGCCACAGAGGGCGTCTTGTACTTTGCAGACGACGACAACACCTATGATATTAGGGTCTTCGAGGAAGTACGCTGATGTTCTTACGTTGTGATGTTCTACTGTTGTGGTGTTCTACTCTTGTGGTGTCCTACTCTTGTGGTGTCCTACTCTTGTGGTGTCCTACTCTTGTGGCGTCCTTTTGTTGTGGTGTCATACTGTTGTATTAACAGCCTGGTTGATCAGTCCAGCAACCAGGAGGCCTGGTCGACGACCGGGCCGCGGGGACGCAAAGCCCCGGAAGCACTTCAAGGTAACCTCAAGGTAAGGTAAGGTTCACCTAGCTGTGCTTGCGGCAGTTGAGCTCTGGCTCTTTTGGCCCGCCTCTTAACTCTCAATCAATATTTTGTATTTCTTTCATATACACACACACCCAGGAAGCAGCCCGTAGCAGCTGGCTAACTACCAGGTGTGGGAAATTTTACCCAATATATCTATATTATTATCTAAGAAATATATTATTTCTATATCATATCTAAATCATATTAGAATCATATCAAAATCATATTAGAATCACGTCAGATTCATTATACATCTGGATCCTAGATGACAATGCCACTATCATCACTTACACCATAGGGTCCTTAGTTGCCTACGTGACTTGGTGCATGATTTCTCAAAGTTCTAGAAGCTTCGAGAAGAATATCTTAATTAAAAACTATTGGAACATTCAATCGATTTCCGGTACGGATTAAATCAAATCCTTAATAAGAATCAATAGTTCTAGCAAGTACTCCGTATAATCTTTAAATCTTATATCTAATTATATTATAATCGTATCTTATCTCAATCATATGTCTAGACAGTAAAAATAATCAATGAATATACATTGAAAGCTACCCTCTCTAGGGAAGGGTGGAGCCAAACTCGAGATTGAAGCGAGCTACGAGCCGTCCCGGGGCAGACCGCGTGTGTTTACAAAACATTGAATAAGCGATACGGTACCTTGCGAACTTTAATTTGTAAAATACACCATAATAACATACCTTTATCACCAGTGATTACTCTCTAGAACTGGGGAAGTACCTGGACAATATCTACATGGAAAAATTCCTAATACTTTATCTAAATCCTCCACCATCAACACCGATCTTAGCCTACTGCAAACGCAATTAAGGACATAATCAATTAGCAACGCTACCAGAATAATAAACAGAAAAACTGTGAAATAAAATAGTACCCAAAAACTCGACAAGATAATTAACCAGTCTGGCAACTCGTTAGACAGTCACCCGGCACTCAGACATAAGTATATTTGAGTGTTATTGCGTGTTAATTGGCCAATTGTATGCTTGTATAACCTTAATATATCCAATAAGTCTGTTTGTCGTTATAGGATGAGGCAATGCCTCATATCTCAGTAAGTTTTATTAATATTGTAGCGACTGAATCTTTTTAAAGTAACCATACACTCGTGAGATTCACAGCCTCATGAGTGTCCCTTGTCTAAGAAAAGTCAAGTCAAGCCTAATTGAATCTCTTCATATAATCTGAATATATCTGTATTTAAATGATAATATACATTAAGTTAACAATTGCTTACTTAATAATCTTAAATTTTTAATATAAGTTTATCATATTCCATATAATCTCTTGTACTTAGTTAATAGTACTTAGACCACATTTAAGGTCATTTGATTGCATATTCATACATATCATACTTCTACAATATAAATTGTTGTGTTTATTAATATATGAATATTGGCTGTTAAAGTCATGGTGCTAGACTGGACTGTGTACATGTTTAGATCCCTGATTTAAACAGAACCAGTGTTCAGTTATAGAACCGATTTATTAAATCTTATCCTTGTAGTAACAATCCAAGCTGATGTGAGAAACTTGTCTGCAGGTATATTGTTGGTCTTCCATCAACTTCTCCATTCACCCTTAGGGTTCCCACCTGCTCCTTACAGCCCACAGTCTGTCATTAGCAAAAGAGGAGCTAGGATTTACGACCCTAGCTAGAGACTTTAGTTGAATTAATTTTGCATAGAGTAATTTTTAATTTAGTACAGTACAAATCCCTAGTAGTTCTCCTTATATATTAATCCCGACAGTTTTCCCACACCAGGTACCTAATTACTGCTAGGTGAACAAGGGCATGAGGATGAAAGAAACTCTGCCCATATGTTTCCGCCATCGCCGGGGATCGATCCCCGGACCCTAGGATTACGAAACCCGAGCGCTGTCCACTCAGTCACCAGGCCCCCTAATGTGTGTGTGTGTGTGTGTGTGTTTGTGCGTGTGTGTGTGTGCGTGCGTGTGCACGCTGCCTGTTACCTTACTTTACACATTTATAACTGGCTTATGATTGCTCTAAATCAGGTCATTCAATATGCCATACATGATGTGACCTGACCTAAGATCTTGACCCATGCTGCCCTAATGGTAGTACCTATAAGTACCTATAACCACTATGAACATAATGTTCAAAATATGAACGTTTTGAACTAATGGTGTACTGAAGCGCATAACAAACCTGCCACAGCCTAACCAAATCTGCCCTAAGCCTAAATATCCAATTCTAGGTCTAAGCCCTAGTATACTCAGGTTTAAGCCTAATAGTGTATGATGGACTGGTATTTGTTGGAAGGGTGAAAGAGTGTGTATTATGTACGTTGAACCGATTGTCGCTATAGGTTCTATAGGCACAATCATTTTTGGATGATAGGGGATGATAGGCTGCAAGGTGTACAGTTTCTGCCTGTCTTCACTATGTCCTCCAGCGCCCATAGCTTGCCTCATCATCATGGCAGCTCAAAATGAAATAAATTTGTTGAGGTATTAATACACATCACAAACAATAAGCATATTACCGAACTTTCTGAGTGATATACAAATACATTTCTTCGGAGCTAACACTGTTTATACATACTCCTACTCATATATACGACTCACCCCTCACACGACCCTGTTTTCTCCTCACAAACACACAGCCTGTAACACTCACACGACTCATAGCTTCACTCACACGACCCTAAGTTCCGTTGTTCCGCTAGACCTGACTCGCCTGAACACAACCTCTGACTCACCTCTCTCTCTCTTTTTCCCGCCCTTCTTCGTGCTCCTGCAGATGCGGTACACGAAGAAGGTGTCTATGTTTCCCGTGGGCTTGCTGACGACGGCGGGGCTGTCCACGCCAGTGCTGAAGGAGGGCCGGTTTGTGGGATGGTACGATGGGTGGATAGGTGGACGCAAGTTCCCCGTCGACATGGCTGGCTTCGCTGTCTCCGTCCCTTATCTTCTTAGTGTAAGTATAGGGAAGGATAGCCCGTCCTCATAAACAGCTCCTCCTCATAAGCAGTATCATGTCCTCATAAACAGTAGCCCGTCCTCATAAACAGCCCGTCCTCATAACCAACAGCCCGTCCTCATAACCAACAGCCCGTCCTCATAACCAACAGCCCGTCCTCATAACCAACAGCCCGTACTCATAAACAAAAGCCTGTTCGACTCACAACTAGGGACATTCGAATATTTCTCGAACAGTGCCTCGCTGAGTACTGGGTTCAAGGCTTCAATGGGCCAAGTGAACGAAATTAGGGTCGGGGGTAGATTGGACACGCATAGCGTGAGGGCGGGATGGGAGAGGAGAGTGGGATGGAAGGGTACTTCGCTAGTGGGAGGGATTAATTGTGGCTTGACTGGGAAGAAGGGACGGGGGACTAACAAGGGTCAAGAGAGGTAGGAGAATAGTGATGAGATGAACGAGGTCATGGCCACACGGGTGTGATATATGACTATTGAACTAAATATTACAAGTGTAATTATTTAGGCAAATTGCAGCTTCCACTCATCAGTATAAATTTCCTTGTTTTTTGTTGAACCTTAACACGCACTTACAACCCCCTCCCCCTACCCCCCTTCCCCCCTCATTTACTACCCCCTCTCCTTACCAACCACTAAGACCACCTCTCCCTCATAAAGACCTGCTCCTGGTCGTTAAAGAGGGTCTTGTTGCTCCCTCCATCTCCCTAACCTCATGAAGGCCCCTTCTCAGCATCCTCACTAACATCTCCTTGACATCTCTCACCCTTTGGATGGTGCAGGTTCCAACAGCCAAGATGCCCTACACGGCCGGGCTGGAGGAGACGGGCTTCCTCACCAGCCTCAATGTCCAGCCCGAAGACTTAGAGTTCCTGGCTGACAACTGTACCAAGGTTACTCATACTCTATACTTGCTGCTCTCTGTGTGTACTCTCACTCATACTGTGCCTTGTACTTGATGCTCTCTCTCTCTCTCTCTGTGTACTCTCTCATACTGTGGCTTGTACTTGATGCTCTCTCTCTCTCTGTGTACTCTCACTCATACTGTGGCTTGTACTTGATGCTCTCTCTCTCTCTCTGTGTACTCTCTCTCATACTGTGGCTTGCTGTGGTTATTGCTGTGAGTGTTGCTGTGGTCATTGTTGTGTAGGCTGACAATGGTTGTTGATGTGGTTGCCATGGTTAATACTGTGTGTTGATGTGGTCATTGTTGTTGGTCGACATGATGACTGATGACGTTTTAGGTGTATACCGATGACTTGTTGATTACTGAAGATACCAGGGGGTCCTCTGACACATATACACAGAATAGGCTGGCCGACACATCGTCGACTTAGCATCATGCAGGGTCGGCGTTCGATCCCAGATGGTTCAAGTGGATGGACATGGTTCCTTCACACCATCCTCATCCCTGCACCTAGCCTGTCCGTGTATACGTCCCATGTGCCATACAGTCACACTGTAAAAGATGATGTGTTTAGCGATGTCGCTTCATACATAATGCTGTCTTACATATAAGTACCGTGGGAGAGCATAAATGATATGTGCAACAAGTGGGCTGCAGCCACTTGCGAAACCTGTACATCTTTCAACTATCATAGCCACTTAGTTGACATTTACTGAATAAATTACGAGTTCCAAAGAAATACGAGTTTGTTTATAACAATATTAACCTTGGGCTGTGTTCGTAAACGATTTAATATATGTAAACAAAGCCGACATAATTGAGGAAGGATGTACAGGTTTCGTAATTGGTTGTGTACATGCCTGATGACGCCTGTCCCTGGACCTGTGGCTGGCTGAGCATTCTTATATATTACTGGGAAAGTCTTATAATAGTCTCGGTAGTACTCACAGATCTTGGAACATCTTCCTTCAGAGCTTGTTCAAGATTACTGAGGCAGACACAGTTACGGTGTCCTCACACCCTGAGGCAGACACAGTCCACCACCCTCCCAGCTGATGCTGGCATTTTCCACACCTGTTCACCACCTCTGCTCCCCCCCCCCCTACAGATATATGTGTGGCACACCAAGACCTTCAGGAACGCCGCCTCTAGCAGGAACATCCTCAAGCCGGAGTACAACGACACCAACCTCCGGGTCCTACAGGACCTCCTCATCATCAATGAGTCCTGACCTACGTCGCATCTCACCTGAGTGAATCAATGAGTGAGTGAGTGAGAGTATGGTTAGTGTGTTAAGGGTATACGTTGTTGTATACTTGTTAGGTACATGAAGGCAGTGGGCTGGTCGGTAGAGCGAAGGCCTCATTTCTTGCAGGGTCGGCGTTCGATTCCCGATGGTCCAAATGATTGTGTCTTATCCTCATAGCCCATCTCCTTATCCTCATTCCCCAGCTCCTGTTCCTCATAACCCAGCTCCTGTTCCTCATACCCCAGCTCCTGTTCCTCATATCCCCAGCTTCTTTTCCTCATATCCCCAGCTCCTTGTCCTCATACCCCAGCTCCTTATCCTCATATCCCAGCTCCTTGTCCTCATACCCCAGCTCCTTGTCCTCATACCCCAGCTCCTTGTCCTCATATCCCAGCTCCTTGTCCTCATACCCTAGCTCCTTATCCTCATACCCCAGCTCCTTGTCCTCATACCCCAGCTCCTTGTCCTCATACCCCAGCTCCTTGTCCTCATACCCCAGCTCCTTGTCTTCATACCCCAGCTCCTTGTCCTCATTCCCCAGCTCCTTGTCTTCATACCCCAGCTCCTTGTCCTCATACCCCAGCTCCTTGTCCTCATACCCCAGCTCCTTGTCCTCATACCCCAGCTCCTTGTCCTCATACCCCAGCTCCTTGTCCTCATACCCCAGCTCCGTGTCCTCATACCCCAGCTCCGTGTCCTCATACCCCAGCTCCGTGTCCTCATACCCCAGCTCCGTGTCCTCATACCCCAGCTCCTTGTCCTCATACCCCAGCTCCTTGTCCTCATACCTCAGCTCCTTATCCTCATACCCCAGCTCCTTGTCCTCATACCTCAGCTCCTTATCCTCATACCTCAGCTACTGTTCCTCATACCCTAGCTCCTTTTCCTCATATCCCCAGCTCCTTGTCCTCATACCCTAGCTCCTTATCCTCATATCCCCAGCTCCTTGTCCTCATACCTCAGCTACTGTTCCTCATACCCCAGCTCCTTGTCCTCATTCCCTAGTTCCTTATCCTCATATCCCCAGCTCCTTGTCCTCATACCTCAGCTACTGTTCCTCATACCCCAGCTCCTTGTCCTCATACCCCCAGCTCCTTGTCCTCATTCCCTAGCTCCTTGTCCTCATACCCCAGCTCCTTGTCCTCATTCCCCAGCTCCTTATCCTCATACCCCAGCTCCTTGTCCTCATTCCCTAGCTCCTTGTCCTCATACCCCAGCTCCTTGTCCTCATTCCCTAGCTCCTTGTCCTCATACCCCCAGCTCCTTGTCCTCATTCCCTAGCTCCTTGTCCTCATACCCCAGCTCCTTGTCCTCATTCCCCAGCTCCTTGTCCTCATACCCCAGCTCCTTGTCCTCATTCCCTAGCTCCTTGTCCTCATACCCCAGCTCCTTGTCCTCATACTCACCTATAAAGTGCAATATACTCATTATGCAACCCATCCTCCCAAAATTATTGTACTTCCAGCAACTGTTTGGTCGAACGTACAAAAGAGAACTGTTGCAGCCATGAACTATTTATGTACTTGTAATTATGTATAGGGCACTGAAAACTTAAATTTTCCCAGGCCTAGTAAATAAGTCATAAGGTATACTTTATCTTATACCTTATCTTAAGGTATAATTACCTTAATACCTTAGTCATAAGGTAGCGTATATTAGACCTAGGATTACTTATTTATGCCTTGGACAGGTTAGGGTAGGATAGATTAGGCTAGGTTAAATACCTTACGTTGTAAATACCTTGCTGAGAAGAATATGTACTATGTAATTAATGTATCGCTGTGAAACCCTGTCATACCCATCAATCATCATTCATTTTATTTATGGATATTTAATACTAAATATATGGAATAATACGTTTGTTTGTTTGTTTGTATTTACCTGCTTGAGTCTACGAGAGTGATGCTGGGGCTAAGTTAGCCACCTTTGTCTCCTAACACACACACACACCAGTTGATTTACGGTTGAGAGGTGGGACCAAAGAGCCAAAGCTCAACCCCCACAAGCACAACTAGGTGAGCACTCAGCGCTCAACTAGCCCCACTGGCTAGCACCTCAAGGACGACCTAAGTACTCTTGTCAGTCTCCTGCTTCACTGACTCCTCTAGCCTGTCACCGGTAGCTGGTCACCTCCCAGCACAGAAGACTGGAAGATGGGGAACTAATATTAATGGGAGGGTCAACTGTTATAGTTTGGAATCTGGATCATAGATGGCGCCGAGGTCCGTCTCTCTTTCTCTCTCTCTCTCTCTCTCTCTCTCTCTCTCTCTCTCTCTCTCTCTCTCTCTCTCTCTCTCTCTCTCTCTCTCTCTCTCTCTCTCTCTCACACACACACACACACACACACACACACACACACACACACACACACACACACACACACACACACAGGGCATGGAGAAACTATAGAAATAACAGGACACTTGAGAGCAGAGAAAGGTATCATAGTGCCAGGAATGAATATGTCAGGGTGAGAAGAGATGCAGAAGGGCAATACGAAAATGACATCCCAAGCATGGCAAAGAGTCCACCTAAATTGCTGCACAGCCACATCAGGAGAAAACCAACAGTGAAGGAACAGGTAATGAAATTGAGGATAAGGGCAGACAGATTCATTACAAATGACAAGGAAGTGTGCGAGGAACTGAATAAGAAATTCCAGAAGGACTTCACATTAGAGCAATCTTGAGGTTATCTTGAGATGATTTCGGAGCTTAGCGTCCCCGCGGCCCGGTCCTCGACAAGGCCTTCTTTTTGTTACACACCCCCAGGAAGCAGCCCGTAGCAGCTGTCTAACTCCCCCAGGTAGCTATTTACCGCTAGGTAACAGGGGCATCAGGATGAAAGAAACTTTTTGCCCATTTGTCTCTGCCTCCACCGGGGATCAAACCTGGAATCTCAGGACTTCGAATCCGAAGCGCTGTCCACTCAGCTGTCAGGCGCCTTCCCAGGCAAGGGGATGTTCCAGAGATAAGAGAGGGAATAGTTAACCAGGGACCACTAGAAGAGTTTGAGATTACCAGCGGGGAAGTAAGGAAGTTCTTGCTAGAGTTGGATGTGACAAAGGCTATAGGTCCAGATGGACTCTCCCCTTGGATACTAAAGGAAGGAGCAGAAGCATTGTGCCTGCCACTCCCCATAATGTGTATAGCAAATCACTGGTAACAGGGGAATTGCCAAAAATTTGGAAGACTACTAATGTAGTCCCGATATCCAAAAAAGGGGGATAGACAGGAGGTACTGAACTACAGGCCAGTGTCCCTAACCTGCATACCATGCAAACTGATGAAGAAGATTGTGCGAAAAAAAGCTAGTGGAACATCTGGAGCAAAATAACTTTGTAATACAGCATCAATATGGGCTCAGAGATGGCAAGTCCTGCCTCACAGGATTAATTGAATTCTACGACCAGGCAACAAAAATCAGGCAAGAAAGAGATGGGTGGGCAGACTGCATATTTTTGGATTGCCAGAAAGCCTTTGACACAGTACCACACAAGAGGCTAGTGAAAAAGCTGGAGATGCAGGCAGGAGTGAAAGGGAAGGTACTCCGTTGGATAAGGGAGTACCTAAGCAACAGAAGACAGCGAGTCACTGTGAGGGGTGAGGCCTCAGATTGGCGAGACGTCACCAGTGGAGTCCCGCAGGGTTCAGTCCTTGGATCTATACTGTTTCTGATGTATGTAAATGATCTCCCAGAGGGTATAGAATCGTTCCTCTCATTGTTTGCTGATGATGCAAAAATTATGAGGAGGATTAAAACAGAGGATGATAGTAGGAGGCTACAAGATGACCTAGACAGACTGAATGAATGGTCCAACAAATGGTTACTAAAGTTCAACCAGAGTAAATGCAGTCATGAAACTAGGCGGTGGAAACAGGAGGCCAGACACAGGATACAGAATGGGAAATGAAGTAATTCATGAAACTTACAGAGAGAAAGATCTAGGAGTTAATATCACACCAAACCTGTCTCCTGAAGCCCACATAAAAGGAATTACATTTGCGGCATATGCGAGGCTGGCTAACATCAGAACAGCCTTCAGGAACCTGTGTAAGGAATCATTCAGAGCCTTGTACACCGCATATTTAAGGCCAATCTTGGAATATGCGACCCCAGCTTGGAGCCCGTATCTTATCAAGCACAAGACGAAGCTGGAAAAAGTTCAGAGGTATGCCACTAGACTAGTCCCAGAACTAAGAGGCATGAGTTACGAGGAAAGGCTGCATGAGATGCACTTCACGACACTGGAAGACAAAAGAGTAAGGGGAAACATGATCATTACCTACAAAATTCTCAGAGGAATTGACAGAGTGGACAAAGACAAACTTTTTAACACGGGCGGTACGCGAACAAGGGGACACAGGTGGAGATTGAATACCCAAATGAGCCACAGGGACGTTAGAAAGAACTACTCTGACACTTTTTCAGTGTCAGAGTAGTTAACAGGTGGAATGCATTAGGCAGTGATGTGGTGGAGGCTGACTCCATACACAGTTTCAAATGTAGATATGATAGAGCCCAGTAGGCTCAGGAATCTGTACACCAGTTGATTGACGGTCGAGAGGCGGGACCAAAGAGCCAGAGCTCAACCCCCCGCAAGCACAACCAGGTGAGTACAGACACCACTGTACACAGGTCGTTGATCATGTAGTTATGAAGACAATAGCAAGAGGAAGAGAAGAGCTGAGGCACACCATACAGGCGAGGACCCCAAGGTGAGATACCCCGCCCCCCTCTGGTAGTTACCTCAGGAAACACAACTAAGAGAAAACACAAGACTTTTTTTACTTAATTACTAACCAACGCATACTATAGAAGCTGCATAGAAGAAGAATGGAATGCATAGAAGCTACATAGAAGAAGAATAGAATGCATAGAAGCTAAATAGAAGAAGAATAAAATACATAGAAGCTACATAGAAGAAGAATAGAATACATAGAAGAAGAATGGAATGCATAGAAGCTACATAGAAGAAGAATAGAATGCATAGAAGCTACATAGAAGAAGAATAGAATGCATAGAAGCTACATAGAAGAAGAATAGAATACATAGAAGCTACATAGAAGAAGAATGGAATACATAGAAGCTGCTTACGCATAGAAGCTGAAGAAAGATTTATACCTCTCTTAAGAGATAAAGGAGACAAGAGAAAAAAATGCCTATGGTTTAACATAAAATTCTTAAAGACAAAAGGGAGAACTATAAGAGAATGGAAGAAATAGAGGAAGCACAGAAGAGAGGCCCAACAACATATATATACAAGAGAGAGGAAATATTACACAGGCATGCGGAGAGCAGCAGTTATCTTGAGGTTATCTTGAGATGATTTCGGGGCTTTAGTGTCCCCGCGGCCCGGTCCTCGACCAGGCCTCCACCCCCAGGAAGCAGCCCGTGACAGCTGACTAACACCCAGGTACCTATTTTACTGCTAGGTAACAGGGGCATAGGGTGAAAGAAACTCTGCCCAATGTTTCTCGCCGGCGCCTGGGATCGAACCCAGGACCACAGGATCACAAGTCCAGCGTGCTGTCCGCTCGGCCGACCGGCTCCCTTGAAGCAGGTGGAGAAATTGAATTGAATTGAAATAAGTTTATTGAGGTAAAATACATACAAAGGGATGAGGTAGCTCAAGCTATTCTCACCCCGTTCAGTACAACGTGTTAATACATACATATACACACATCACAAACAATAAACATATTACCAAACATTCTGAGAGATAAACATATATATATTTCCTCCTTCACAAGTAGTATGGTATCAGACGTACCATGATATGCCCGAAACGCTTTGCGTAATAGTGGCTTTAGGCTTTGTATGTACTAGCTCTTATCTATAAAGCCAACAAACTTTGTAAAATCTCTTTATGTATGTACCTTTGCCTAAATAAAAATTATTATTATTATTATTATTATTATTATATATAGCTTCCAAAGCCAATGATTAGCCTAAACTACTGAACAGTCACACGAGGAACAAAATATCTGTAAATGAAGAAGTGATCAGTCTACACGAAAGAGGAGGACGCCACGAAGAATATGATAAGGAAGTGTGCGAAGAAAATAAAAACTTCCAGGAATGTTTACAAAGAGAACCGGAGCTGCCCCCAGATGTAAGGTGCCAAACGGGTCAGGCACTACCCAAATAAAACCTGCTCAAAAAAGCAGTGCCACCAGAGGAAGTAAAGAAACAATTAGAGGAGATTAAGGAGATGTAAACCACAAGGGAAGGGAACTATCAGGGGGAATCGCCAAGCCATAACGACTATATAGCACTTGGGAAAGGGTCAGGATAAGGATTTGGGATGGGAAACAGGGAAAGGAATGGTATCCAACCACTTGGATGGTCGGGGATTGAACGCCGACCTGCATGAAGCGAGACCGTCACTCTACCGTCCAGCCCAAGTGGTCCTGACAAGATCTCACCATGGATCCATTAAGAGGCAGCACCGGGGTGCACCGCTTGCTACACCCACCACTTCCTCACTAGACATTGGGGAACCACCTGAAATTCGGAAACCGGCAATTTTGGAAGGTATAAATAAGAGAGGGGGAAGATAGGAGCCACTGACCTACAGACCAGTATCACTAACAAGTATTCTGTGTAAGATATCAGAGAGACTCATTAAAAGAAAGCTTCTGGAACACTTAGAAAATGGATTTCGTTTCCAAACATCAACATGGATTCAGCAAAGGAAAATTCTTGCTTGATCAGCTTATTTAAGTTCTATGACAAGAGGACAACACTCAAACAGGAGAGAGAAGGCTGGCCACACTGAGTATTCCTGGACTGTTATCTTGAGGTTATCTTGAGATGATTTCGGGGCTTTAGTGTCCTCGCGGCCCGGTCCTCGACCAGGCCTCCACCTCCAGGAAGCAGCCCGTGACAGTTGACTAACACCCAGGTACCTATTTTACTGCTAGGTAACAGGGGCATAGGGTGAAAGAAACTCTGGCCACTGTTTCTCGCCGGCACCCGGGATCGAACCCGGGACCACAGGATCACAAGTCCAGTGTGCTGTCCGCTCGGCCGACCGGCTCCCGGGGTCTGGGTCGGCCGCGCTTCATAAAGCTTTTGACACTGTTCCTCACAAGTGACTTATGCAAACTAAAAAAAAAAAAAAGGCTACGGGTGTATTGGGAAAAGTGCTAAAGTGGGTGAAGGAATAACTTTCAGGAATAATACAAAGTCATAGTAAGATGAGAGGTGTCATAATTGAGAGAGGCAATCAGTGGAGTGCCTCAAGGGTTGGCACTTGAGTCCATCATGTTAGTAATGTGCGTAAATGACTTAGCAGAGGAAGTAAGCTCATTCTTATTAATGTTTGCTGAAGATGTTAAGGTAATGAGGCAAATCAGAAAGTAAAATTGCAATACATTACAAGATAAAATTCCCAGAGATAGACTTAGAAATGGCTACTAGAATTTAACCCTGACAAATGCAAGTTTATGAGGAAAGGAATTGGAGTAAGAAGGCCTAAAATAGAGAACAGGGTGAAGGGAAGGCAACTTACAACTCCTGAAAAAGAGAAAGACATAGGAGTAGACATAACTGGAGGTCTAACACCAGAGAAACACATCAGCAGGATAACGAGGGCAGCATATAGCCATACTGGCAAACGTCCGGTTATCCTTCAGCAACTTGGGAAAATATCCCTTCCGAACGCTGTATACATCATTCGTGAGACCCGTTCGTGTAGCCCTATTCTCCTAAAATGCTAGTACTTATAGTAATTATAAGTCAGGGACCATCAAAAAGCTGACTTTTGTGTTACTGAGTTTAACCAAACGGGAAACCTTTTAACCGCTACATAAACAGTCCCTATTCTAACCCAAGCTCTCCTAAGAAAGGGGATTAGGATATCTCCTAATATCCATATCTCCTAGCATCTCCTAATATCCATATCTCCTAGCATTTCCTAATATCCATATCTCCTTGCTAGGAGATATCCATATCTTATAGTAATGCCAGGTCTAATCCACACTAACTTAGCTGAAATATAGTACAGGAACAGGCCGTGTTCCTGTACTATTGGAACAGGCCCTGTTCGTATTATGTGCTGTAATAGACCTAAAAATGTTTAATTTTGTTTGGCTTTATTTTTTCCGGAGTCTATAAAATTAAAAAGTACAAAGCTTGAATTATTGGTGGTTGAACACTACATATTGGTACTCTCGACCAAAGAGCTACTATAAGTACTATCATTTCAGGAGGACGGGATGTATGCCTGAGTATGACACCTCGGCATGGAACCCCTACCTATACATACACAAAACAAAACTAGAAAAGGTCCAAAAATATACAAGAATGCTCGTTCCTAAACTAAGTGAATTGATCTATGAAGAAAGTCTGAGGAAACCAGACCTCACTCCTCTGGAGGAAAGTAGGAATATGGTAGACATGATAATGACGTACAAGATACTAAGGTTAGTTTAGTTTATTTATTATGTACCCCATACATAACTGTAACTGTAACATGCTCGTGTCTGAAGCTGGGCACAAATACAACGAAATTATTAATGATGGTAATAGAGTCCATTTCATGTGGAGTCCATCTCATGTTGGCCTTCGAATGCATGATAAAGCTGATGAGTTAGCCAAAGAATCTACCTTTAAAGGAGAAATTGAGTATAGCCTTGGATTGTCAATAAACAGTCTGAGAGCAGCAGTACACCAAGAACTTCAACAAAATCTTGTAGATCTGAGGCAAAGTGAAATCGACACCAGTAATTCTATCTATCATCATACTATCATTCAAGAGGAGCCACACATCTATGGTTCATCCAATAAAATCAGCAGACTTCTAGATGTTACTACTGCTCGGCTTAGACTCGGATACAAGTATCTCTGGGAATTCTCATTATCTGCTGATGTAGACCTGACCAAATGTAAACTGTGTCAACAAAATTATTCGCACACCCTCCGTCACTATGTGATGGAGTGCGAAAAGGTACGTGAATTCAGAGACAATTCTATAACCAAAGTTTCAAAGATGTGTAAATATTTAATTGAAAATGATCTGCTACCAGAAATTTTAGCCAAATATCCCCAGTTTCTAACTGTAGGTAGTAACTAAGTGATGGTAACCTATCCACCGCTGCCCACAGGATGGGGGGCGGTGTGCAGGACAAACATATTATGCTTCACATATGTCAGTTGCTTAATTTAGAAACTACTTGTGGTCGATCTCGAACCCATTGATGATGTGACGACTTATATAGAATTTTGTAACTAGCTCATCAGATTGTAGATACTAAGGAAGATGAGGAAGTATATAAAGAAGCAATGTTCAAAGCGAGGAAGAGTGAAACGAGAGGACATAACTGGAAACTGAAAACACAGTTAAGTCACCGAGATATCAGAAGAAACTTGTTTTAAAAGTGGCCGTGATTGACTGGAGCGGACATGAGAGTGGAAGCAAGCATTAGGTTGGACGTCCAGCAGCGCACGACGAGGCCGGCGCCTGGGCGCATGTGCACAGTGACAGGAAGAGAGGATATAGAGGTGGGTGAGGCGGGCAACCGCTCAGTTTAACAAGGGCCGTCTATGATGGCGTGTGTCGTCCTGGGTGTGGCTACGGCCCTGCTCCTCTCCCTCCCCTCAACACAAGCCCTTTACAGTGAGTTGTCTTCGTCTACTGATTGTTTTGATTTTCCTATGAACCTTTCTTGCTATCCCAGGTCGGGTGTTCCATGGCAGTCTTGCATATATACAGTTTTCAACCCGTTCTAATAGCTAATAAGTCGCATTTTTTACAGAATCGACCAATCCGTAAAAAATACGACGTAATTGTAAAATTTAGAGCACCATAATATTGACGTTTTCTATGTACCGTTCTCGATAGGCTAGGAATTGTTGCTCGGGTGCGTAGGCCAAACAGTTGCATTTTTGAACGCAGTGGCTCACTCGAATTGAAAATACAAATTGGATTTATTACGAATAAAGGTAAATAATGAAATGCTAGAAGCTGCTAATCTCCAACTTCTCAGTTGCTGAGCTGAGTATCGTGGATGTAGTGAGCATGTTCCCTCTGTACAGCCTCATTGAGGAATTAAAATAGGAAGTTGACGTCTCTCGGGTTTGTGGATAGTTCAACCCGTTCTCGCACTTGCTTACAGTCAATATTTGGCATATGAATAAGTGCATATGTGACATACTAATTTATTGCTTACTCACCAACCACCTCATATACTTTACTCCGTAATATTAGACTAAAGCAAACTATTAAGTGAGACACAACGAGACATGAGGTACACTTCTCTGAGTACATATTCCTTTTACGTGTCTGGTGTATCGCAGCCCGGCCTCCAGTTGCCACACCATCACAAAAAATAACGTACTAAATTACCCGAACCTAACCTAACTTAACCGAGGACCCAATAAAAGAAAATGGGACAGCCCGTCTATTTTGCGAACCGCTGTGACTTATAGTACATCATATTTTGGCCGTTAGAGCCAAAATACATCAAAATGCAATGTGCTCTTGGAAAGGACTGGTTGATAGAACCCAGATCCTTGAGCAGTCTCTTCACACTCTTTAGCCGGGGCCCAAGGATTTATAATGCGATTGTTGTTGTTGTTTTAGATTCAGCTACTCAGAATAAAAGTTCCAAGTAGCACGGGCTATGGTGAGCCCGTAGTGGACTTACTAGGCACAAGAGCGGGGCTGTGTGTATAATGTGTTGTTGTTGTTTCAGATTTAGCTACTCAGGACGAAGTGTCCATGTAGCACGGGCTAAGGTGAGCCCGTGAGTATAATGCGATATATAGGGACAACTTTATACTGATAGTCCCCCGGGGTCCCTCCAGAACCAAGGGTCTCAAGAATCCGTTTGATTAAGTTCCGGAAACGGAAAATGGTGGTCGTGTGATGGGATACTGTTGTAAAAGGTTCGAACGTAGTTACTATTACGAACAAAAACCACCACTAAAAACAAAACCCATGAACTAGAACCACATATAGCAAGCATTTGACCTTCCATATGTCAGCTGGGGACGCGTTGCGAGTGTGTACATTTACAGCAACCCGTCCTCAGGTTCGTCCATCCAGCGGTCGGCCCCAAAGACGCATTCACCAATTTTAACAATCTGTTCATTCAAAATAGGAATTTTCTCAAATATAAATTATTATTATTATGAATTAGCATTTTGTGCATATTTAGGCGTGGGTTTTGTTGTGTGTTTAGGTTCAGTTGGCAATTATTGATTTTTAACCCGTGGGTGAAACTTTACAGAGTTGCGACTCTAACATAGGAAGATAGCAAGGCAGTGTTCGAGAAGGGATATATATATAGACCGAGAGTTGTAACCCGGATCTCGGTGTATATCCACTCAGAGTTGACTTACCTGAGGGCCAATAGCACTCTAATGGCCTCTACGAGGATAGGAAGCCGGCGGCTAGTCAAAGGTCACCCCATTTGTTCAGGTGATTTTTTTCAAGCTGGACTTTAAAATTCAGCAGTGTTTTGGCATTAATTGCTTCGGCGGGTAGGCGGTTCCATGTGTTTATAACCACGTGGGAAAAAAATCACCTCCTGTTTACAGTCCTACAGTGTGGCTTGTTCAGCTCGAAACCGTTGTTCCTTGTGTGTGATACATCTGACCTGAAGAAGTTGTCTGTTTAAACATCCTCCAAATAGTTCAATATTTTAAAAATTTCGATGAGATCCGCCCTGTCGTGTCTGGTTTACACAGTGTTGTAACCCCTGAGGCCCTCAACCGTTCCTGGCATGAAAGTCAACTTAATTCTGGAATAATTTTTGTCGCCCGGTGTTGAAGTTTCTCCAGAGCAGATATGTCTGTCTGAAGATGAGGTCTCCATGCTTGGACACAATAATACTTAAAAGTCAAAGATTCGCTTGATTATTCCTAGGATTTCGTTAGCTTTTATTTTTTAACTGCAGCTCCCACTTGTTGTGCAACTTGATGCATTCATGTTGTGCAATGAATGATGGATTCTGACTCCAAGGTCTTTTTCTTAATTAATCTACTGCGAGGTAATGTTGTTAATTTGGTAGTTATGACGTGGGACGTTATGCCTCACATACAAGGTCACGCATTTTTCGATAATAAAGAGCATTTACCAGTCTTCTACCATTTGTGGAGTTCCTGCAGATCTCTATGCAAGGCCTCAATATCATTTTCCCTCCCCACTTTACCATAAATCTTATTGTCATCTGCAAATTTTATAATGTATTTTGTAATATTCTCGGTCACTGAGGTATATGACATACATCAATGTCATATATGTATGAGTTGGTGGCAGAATGGACCCTTGAGGTACCCCACTCACCACAGTTCTCCAGTCAGACGTTAAGGACGACTCTTGAAATTGAAATAAGTTTATTGAGGTAAAATACACACAAAGGGATGAGGTAGCTCAAGCTATTCTCACCCCGTTCAGTACATCGTGTTAATACATACATATACACACATCACAAGCAATAAACGTATTAGGACGACTCTTAGTTTTCTTTGTTTTAACCATTGATTTATTCAGTCTAGTGTCCTACCATTTATTTCACCCGCCTGTGGAATAAAGTCCTCATTCTTTAGAATAAGGCTTTACTAGTCTTTCATGTGGTACCTTATTAAAAGAATCAGCAAAGTCCATGTATACTACATTTACCGGAAGTCCTTTGTCTGAGGAGCTGGTTACCGTTTCCAAGAATGTGAGCAGGTTTGTAAGGCAGCAGCCCGTCCTCTAAGCAAAGAACCCAAAGTCCATTCCATCCACCCGCCAAACCCCCTGTTTATAAATGAAAACATATTTACACACGACTCACAACTGATGACGTTCGAACACTTCCGGAACAAGTGCTTCACTAACGAATTTTGTTCGAACCACAACGCTATAAATGCTTCACCCACGCACTACAAATACAAATAATCGCCAACAGAACCTAAACACCTAACCTATCCTATGCCTATATATGCACAATATGATAATATATTATAATATTAATTTATATTTGAGAAAATTCGCGTTTTGAATGAAAGGAAGGAAATTATCAAGAGAAAGCGCCAAGTCATTACGACTATATAGCATTTGAAAGGGATCAGGATAAGGATTTGGGATAGGACGGGGGAAAGGAATGGTACCCAACCACTTGGATGGTCGGGAAACTGAACACCGACCAGCATGAAGCGAGACCGTCGCTCTACCGTTCAGCCCAAGTGGTTTGAATGAACAGCATGTAAAAAATTATGAATGCGTCTGTGGGGTCGACCGCTGGATGTAATGAACTAGTTCTGAGGACGGGTTGAAGGCAGGATCTATTTTTAACAAACCCATGTTTCGTTGATTATACAAGACTATTCACTGTGAGGTGGTGAATAATTCCCTCCCCTGGGAGGCTCTCCATGACGTTCGTGACTAAAGCATACTTGTTGGTTGGTCAGTAAGCTGTTGTTGCTTGCTTTAATAACCTTCCGTAAGTCCACTGGCGTAAGCTAACACCAAGCAAATACTCGAGTAAAGTTGTGTTGTGTATATATATATATATATATATATATATATATATATATATATATATATATATATATATATATATATATGCAGAATAACCACATATGAAAAATAGAAAATGCTTAACGCGTTTTCGGCTAATTCGCCTTCATCAGAGCAAAGTAGAATCAATTGATTCTACTTTGCTCTGATGAAGGCGAATTAGCCGAAAACGCGTTAAGCATTTTCTATTTTTCATATGTGGTTATTCTGCATACTTGGATCAGTGTTTTTGTGATCATTGTTGCATATATATATATATATATATATATATATATATATATATATATATATATATATGCAAACAAGCTTGAATGGGTCCCAAGCCAATATGCAACTGAAAACTCAACACCCCAGAAGGATTCGAACCCAGACAGCCAGGGGCACTATGCACCTTAGCGTCCCTGGTACCTTAACCACTAGACCACACTGACTGTACATAAATGTTGGTAGTCGTGAGACTATTTATTTAAGATCCGACAGCGCTCGGTGGTCAACTTGGGCATAGATAATGAACAAATCCACAAGGGCCATGACGAGGATTCGAACCTGCGTCCGAGAGCATCCCAGACGGTGCCTGGGATGCAAGGGACTTATGAGACTTATGAGATAAATATGGGTTCCCTGGCGCTCGAATTACTAGTCTTTAAACTGAATAAAGTGGTAACATTAGGGGTGTTAACTGGGCGCTACGAGCTTACTGTGTTAGAGCAGCTGGCATAGTGCTCCTGGCTGCCTGGGTTCGAACCCTTCTGGGGTGTGGTATATATATATATATATATATATATATATATATATATATATATATATATATATATATATATATATATATATATATATATGTACAAGGTGGGTCGGTATGAAGGCAGAGGACAACTTGTAAGGCTCAGTACGGAGAGGGAAAGACAGGGAGATGAGAGTAGAGATTTTGGGAAGTGTTGGAATAGGGAAGATAGGTAAGGAACGGTAGGGACTAGGAGGCAAAGAAGGGAATGAATAGGGTAAGGTGCACCGGAGTAGGCTTAGAATTGACACTCGTTGATCTACTGACGTCAGGGGCTATTCATGCCCGTGCCACCTCCTGGTTGGCTAGTGACGAGGCCTATATCGACTGACTAACCTCAATCCTGCTGGTTTGATCAGTACTTACTGAACAATGTACCGGGTACCACTACCAAATTGACCCATAATAATAATAATAATAATAATAATAATAATAATAATAATAACCTCATGCTGAGGACGTATGAGGTTGAACCTCCTGGAGGTGGTATTCTGTCTAGCACATACGGACTAGGCCGTAATGATGGAAGTACAGGTTACACACGATGTAGCTTCCTCGCCGCTCTCACGCCCCACCGCTCTCATGCCTCGCCGCTCTCGCACCTCGCCACTCACGCCTCGCCGCTCTCACGCCTCGCCGCTCTCACGCCTCGCCGCTCTCACGCCTCGCCGCTCTCACGCCTCGCCGCTCTCACGCCTCGCCGCTCTCACGCCTCGCTGCTCTCACGCCTCGCCGCTCTCACGCCTCGCCGCTCTCACGCCTCGCTGCTCTCATGCCTCGCCGCTCTCACGCCTCGCCACTCTCACGCCTCGCTGCTCTCACGCCTCACCGCTCTCACGCCTCGCCGCTCTCGCGCCTCGCCGCTCTCGCGCCTCGCCGCTCTCGCGCCTCGCCGCTCTCGCGCCTCGCCGCTCTCACGCCTCGCTGCTCTCACGCCTCGCCGCTCTCACGCCTCGCCGCTCTCACGCCTCGCCGCTCTCACGCCTCGCCGCTCTCACGCCTCGCCACACTCACGCCTCGCCACACTTACGCCTCGCCGCTCTCACGCCTCGCCACACTCACGCCTCGCCACACTCTCGCCTCGCCCCACTCACGCCTCGCCACACTCACGCTTCGCCGCTCTCACGCCTCGCCACACTCACGCCTCGCCACACTCACGCCTCGCCACACTATCGCCTCGCCACACTCACGCCTCGGCCCACTCACGCCTCGCCGCTCTTACGCCTCGCCACACTCACGCCTCGCCACACTCACGCCTCGCCACACTCACGCCTCGCCACACTCACGCCTCGCCGCTCTCATGCCTCGCCGCTCTCACGCCTCGCCGCTCTCACGCCTCGCCACACTCACGCCTCGCCACACTCACGCCTCGCCACACTCACGCCTCGCCGCTCTTACGCCCCGCCACACTCACGCCTCGCCACACTCACGCCTCGCCACACTATCGCCTCGCCCCACTCACGCCTCGCCACACTAACGCCTCGCCACACTCACGCCTCGCCGCTCTCATGCCTCGCCGCTCTCACGCCTCGCGGCTCTTACGCCCCGCCACACTCACACCTCGCCACACTCACGCCTCGCCACACTCACGCCTCGCTGCTCTCATGCCTCGCCGCTCTTACGCCCCGCCACACTCACGCCTCGGCACACTCACACCTCGCCACTCTCACGCCTCGCCACACTCACGCCTCTCCGCTCTCATATCTTTTTAAAATTCTTCCTGGCAATACTTTGTCACAAGTTTTAATAGATCTTTTGCAGCCATTTACAACCAGTCAATAAACAATATTTACAGTTGTTCACTAAATAGGGTTAAAATCTATTTCAAATCTTATTCCAAAAAAGTCTATATATTGCACAATTAAAAGACTATATTGCACAATTAAAATACAATTCAAAAACTCTATATTGCACAATTCAAACAAAAATTCTATTGGGTGTTTTATTATATTTTCAAGAGCATCAGATGTAAATATGTATTTAAAACAAGGTTTATGTTGAGTCTTCTACCTTGCTGTTAACAAACTGTATCTTTTTTTACTTCCAGATGAGGATGGATTTTCGCCTAGGGCTCACATTCCTTCGGACGCCTTGAACGACGAACTTCTGGAAGATGGAGATATTTCCGTATCTAAAAAAGAGGTGACGGACTGGCTACATCAGAACCCACACACCTTAGGCAAGAAGCATGAGATTGATAAATTGCTTGAAATACTTCGCTCTGATGAAGCAGATGATTATCTCAAAGGGATTCTGAAGGATCTGTTTCATGATCTGAGGAGGGAAATCATAGAGTCTGATGAATATGAGGGTGATAAGGATGATGAGGACCCTCATAACCTGAAGAATTTTGAAGCTACTACCGACTTGGGTGATGCTGACAACGATGCTGACTCGGACGAGGACTTGCTCAAACAACATGTGGCAGACATCAACTTTGAGTTAGACTGTCAAGAAGAACAGTGCAATGAAACCTTCGTCGACGACGCTTCTGATTTTCCAGCCAATGGTCAAGAAAAGTTACTGAGCAGAAGCAAGAGATCTCCATCACGTGTACGATCCAGCTCCAGGTCAAGTTCCCGAGGGTCTAGCGGTGGCTGGCTAAGTAGGAGTTCTAGAAGAAGGGATTCGAGTAGTGGTTCCAGATGGGGATCGCGTACCAGTAGTAGTAGTAGTAGTAGTAGGAACACTCCATCCAGCAGCTCCAGTGCATCCAAACCTTCTACTGGAACAAGTGGGAGCAGCAGTACTGGGTCATCAGGGTCATCGTACGGCTGGAACACTGGATCGTCTGGCGGAAGTTCGGCTTCACAACCTAAGGTTGGTACAGGTGCCGGCGTCGCCGCAGGAGCCGGAGCCGCTACAGGCACTGCCAGTGGCTCTAGTTACCCGCTAGGCAATAAACCAGCAGGAGGGTACCCCACAGGTTCCCAGCCTTCTGGAGGATATCCAGGTGGTACTCAACCGGTTGGTGGCTATCCCTCAGGAACAAAGCCTGTTGGAGGGTATCCTACAGCAACTCAACCAGTTTCAGGATATCCAGGTGGTACTCAACCGGTTGGTGGCTATCCCTCAGGAACAAAGCCTGTTGGAGGGTATCCTACAGGAACTCAGCCAGTTTCAGGATATCCAGGTGGTACTCAACCGGTTGGTGGCTATCCCTCAGGAACAAAGCCTGTTGGAGGGTATCCTACAGGAACTCAACCAGTTTCAGGATATCCAGGTGGTACTCAACCGGTTGGTGGCTATCCCTCAGGAACAAGACCCGCTGGAGGATATCCTACAGGAACTCAACCAGTTCCAGGATATCCAGGTGGTACTCAACCGGTTGGTGGCTATCCCTCAGGAACAAGACCCGCTGGAGGATATCCTACAGGAACTCAACCAGTTCCAGGATATCCTGGTGGAACTCATCCCGGTGGTTACCCTTCTGGAAATCAACCTTTTGGTAGTTACCCATCTGGAAATCAGCCTTTCGGTCGCTATCCCACTGGCAATCAACCTCATGGTTATCCTACTTATGGTCAACCGCACGCTGGTTATCCTGGCTCATATCAACCAGTCGGTGGATATCCTTCAGCGGTGGGCCGACCTGGTGGCTTTCCCTCGCCAGGAATGGTTGCCGGTGGCTTCGCTGCTGGAAGCATGGCGGGTAGGGGCTTCGGCGGATACCCAGTGGGCGGGTACCCCATGCCACAGAAGAGGAAGAAAAGCAAGAAAGACAAGGCGAAAGACGTCGTTAAGACGGTAGTGGCCGGCATCGTAGCCCACAAAGTTGCCAAAAAGAGCAAGTTCCTCGCTCCCGGGCATCTGTCAAGCTACGGCCACGGTTATGGAGGTCTGGGAGGCAAGATGGCCGCCGGCGGCCTGGCGGGCGCCGCTGGAGGAAAGGCTCTGAAAATCGGGAAGAAGCTTCTAGGAGCTTACGTCAAGATCCAGATAGCCAAATATGCTCTCAAGTTTGGTGCGGAAGTAGCCAAGGCCTACTTTTTGCATAAAATGGGCCTAGACCTGGACGAGTACATGATTGGGAAGTTCGTCCATCGCTACCACCAGTACAGGGTGAGAGGAGACTCCCGCTGGCGGTACTACCACCACCATGGCAGCAATAAACTGGACTCCGCTCAGGACACTATCACACTCGGTAAGGTGCTACTCTACCACACTGTTTGCTTCCTTGGGTGGTCGCTGTGTTGTGTGTCGTGTGGTCCCTGTGCTGTGTTGTGTACTCGCCCACCAAGTTGTGCTAGCGGGGGTTGAGCCTTTGCTCTTTGTTCCCGACTCTCAACTGTCAAACAACTGGTGTAAGTTGATGTGGTCCCTGTGTTGCTCGATAGAGCCACAGGAACCACAACACAGCACATAGACCACATCAACTTACACCAGTTGTTTGACAGTTGAGTCGGGAACACTTGGGCTGGACGATAGAGCGACGGTCTCGCGTCATGCAGATCGGCGTTCAATCCCCGACCATCCAAGTGGTTGGGCACCAGTCCTCCTCCCCCCGTCCCATCCTAAATCCTTATCCTGACCCCTTCCAAGTGCTCTATAGTCGTAATGGCTTGGCGCTCTTCCCTGATAGTTTCCTCTCCATCCCTAGATAGAGCCATTATAACGACAATAACAACCAACTTGACATGAACACAAATATTCAAACAGCCGAGCAAATATAGATACAAAAATAGTACCCATAATTTTGTAAACGAAGAACACAAACCACACAAGAGAGGCACATACACCCCCACTACCAACACCTAAACACACAAACCACACAAGAGAGGCACATACACCCCCACTACCAACACCTAAACACACAAACCACACAAGAGAGGCACATACACCCCCACTACCAACACCTAAACACACAAACCACACAAGAGAGGCACATACACCCCCACTACCAACACCTAAACACACACTCCACACAAGAGAGGCACATACACCCCCACTACCAACACCTAAACACACAAAAAAGATACATTACACTACCAACCAAGAAACGCCCATTTAAAAGTGCGTAAAAGAGAAGCTTAATGTTAAGTGTGTGAAGTCAACGAGTCAATTACAGTCATTTATTTATTTATTTATATACAAGAAGGTACATTGGGTTTATGAGAGTACATAGCATTGATGTTTTTACATTCTTGTAAAGCCACTAACACGCATAGAGTTTCGGGCAGGTCTTTAATCTAACAAATAAATTTAAGTAGGTAATTTCTAGCAAAATTAAAAAATTTTAACAGGCACATTGTAAGAAAATATGACAAAGATTAGTAGGTATATTAAAGTAAAAATTTGAGGGGTTATTAACAGGTATATTGTAGCATAATTTGAGGATTATTTCAAGGTATAATGCAGTAAAATATGCCTTCAAAGTAACAACCATGATATAAGATGATAGCAATGATTACAATGATAAAGTTGTATGGCTTAGGTATATATATTGCTGGGTTGGGTAGCACTAGATACAGTGCGAGTTTAAAGCACTAGGTAGGAAACTATGAAGATGAAATTACGTACTTTTTGGTTTTATTTTTGACTAAGGCTAAGGCTGACTTTTGACTAATGTGCCTAAGACTAATTTTTGTTGGACAGCTTTTCAATTCATTAGGGAGTGAGTTCCATAGACTAGGTCCCTTTATTTGCATAGGGTGTTTACACAGATTAAGTTTGACTCTGGGGATATCAAAGAGAAATTTATTTCTGGTGTGGTGATTATGGGTTCTATTACATCTGTCCAGGGAGAGTTTCAGAACAGGGTTTGTATTCAAGAACAGGGTTTTGTAAATGGCACAAGAGAATGTGTGGAGTGAGTTTATGTTTAGCATGTTTAGGGATTTATACAGGGGGGGGGGCTGAGTGTTGTCTGAAAGCAGAGTTTGTTATTGTTCTGATACAGTAGCAGTTTTTGCTGAGTGATGATGGGCTTGAGGTAGTTTGCAGTGGATAAACCCCATGCACAGATACTATATGTAAGATAGGGATAGATTAGCGGATAGTATAGTGAGAGGAGAACAGAGTTTTGAACATAATATTTGATTTTAGAGAGTATATCAACCGTTTTTGAGATTTTCTTGGTTATGTGTTGTATGTGGGTGCTGAAGTTGAGTCTTGATAAGTATAGGCCACGGAACTTTCCATCATTTTTATTGCTGATGTTAACATTGTCTATCTGAAGCTGAACTGCATTTGTTGATTTGCTTCCAACTAAGATGTAGTAGGTCCTTTCTATGTTTAGTGTGAGTTTGTTGGTTGACATCCATAAGTGGACTTTTTTTAATTCATTATTTACAACATTATTTAATATGTGTGGGTTGGGGTCTGAGTAGATGAGGGTAGTATCATCAGCAAACAATATAGGTTTCAGAATATTAGAGACATTAGGCAGATCATTAATGTATATAAGAAATTTGAGAGGTCCCAAGATGCTGCCCTGTGGCACCCCTTCGGTTATTGGTAGAGTGGGAGAGGTTATATCATCGATGGTTACACATTGGTGTCTGTCACTAAGATAGGATCGGATATAGTTCAGGGCAAGGCCACGGATTCCATAATGGTGGAGTTTAAGTAAGAGGTAATTATGGTTAACAGTATCTAAGGCCTTTCTCAGGTCAATGAAGAGTCCAATCGGAAACTCATTTTTATCAAGGGCTGAGTAGATTATATCAAGCAGAATAATAATTGCATCGTTGGTACTCTTTTGGGAGCGGAAGCCAAACTGACAGGGACTTAGTATGTTGAATTTTATGAGGAAGGAGTAGAGCTGTTTGTAAATATTTTTTTCAAATAGTTTTGATAATATAGGTAGATTTGATATTGATCTGTAATTATTTATGTCTGCCGAATTGTCTCCTTTATGAACTGTCATTACTTGTTTTTTAAGCATATCAGGGAAGGTAAATCACTCTAGAAATTTGTTGAACAGCAGAGCTATGGGTGGCGCAAGGGTATGGGAGCACATACTATAGATGTATTTCACTAATGTTCCTAGCTTTGGTTTTTAGTGAGTGTATGATGGACACAACATCTGTCGGGCTGACTGGTGAAAGGTGAAGAGAGTTTGGGTAGCTGCCTGAAAGATATGTGTTAACATGTGTCAGAGTCTGTGGGATTTTTCTGGCAAAGTTAGCACCAACAGATGAAAAGAAGCTATTAAATTCAGTTGCCGTTTCTAAATCAGTTGCAGGTGTATAATCATCCCTGGAGAGTTGTATCTGGTTATGTGAATGTTGTTTAGCTCCTAGGATGTTAGAGATGGCTATCCATGTGCTTTTCATGTTGCCTTTTGCTTCTTTGAATCTACTCTCATAATAGGAAAGTTTTGCTTTTCTTATTATACTGGTAAGCACTGACGAGTACCTCTTAACTACTTCCTTTCTAACTAGGCCAATCCTAAGTTTTTTTCATATTCATGTTTCTTGTTGATTGCTTTGACTATACCACTTGTGAGCCACGGATTGTTTAATCTTTTGTCAGTTACTTGCTTGGTGAGGCGAGGACAATGAGTGTTGTAGAGGCTTAGAGTTTTGGAAAGGAAGAGGTTAGCTAATGAATTTATATCATGTGTATTATTGAATTCAGATTCCCAGTTTATATTGTGAAGTGCATTTGTGAGATTGCCTAAGTTTCACTGCGTAACCTGAAGGTAGGTAAGTTTCTTGTTAGCTGGTGGTGTTATGTCCATGCTAAGAGGAAGGTAGGATAGTGGTTAGTAGTTCTGTCAGTGATTATACCAGATGCAAGGGGAGCTGTTATGTTTGTCCATAAGTGATCCAAGGTAGTAGCGGATGTTTGAATGATTCGGGTGGGCTTGGTGATTGTGGGGATTAGCATACAGGAGTTCATGCTGTTTAGGAAATAGTTGACTTGAGTGCTATTTTGCTGACATGGTCAATATTGAAGTCAACTCCTAGAATGACGTGATTTTTGTTGAGATTGTTGTTAATGATAAGATTCCTTAGGTTATCTGAGAATGCAGCTATGTTAGTATTGGGAAATTTATAGATAGCTCCAACAGTCAAGGAGGATTTAAGGTATTTAATCGAGAACTGAGCAAAGGTATATTAACAGTAGTCATCTCTATCACAAATGACACTATTGCAGATGAAGGTATCTTGGTAATATATAGCTGTGCCACCTCCTTTTTTATTAGGCCTACAGTTGTGAATGGCTTTATAACCAGCTAAGTTGTAAAGTTGGGTATGGTCTTAACTTAGCCATGTTTCTGTTAAAATAATAAACGATAATTTAGTACCTAGTGCTCTGAGTAGTGCATTTATATCACCAAATGTTTACCAAGTGATCTGACATTTCGGTTGAAGACTGATAAGCAAGTGTTATTTTGGTGTTAAGTTTTTTTTGCAAGGTTTGCTGTGTAATACCTGCATTAGTGATGATCAATATGCTGGTTATTGTAGATTTGTAACAGCAGATTTAGTTCAGGGTCAATATCAGCTTGCATGTAGATGCAATGAAGTCAAGATACAATACGGTAAGCAATTGCAGAACAGTAAAAATATTAAATCTGCTGTAAATATAAAATAACTATAGCAAAAAAAATGCTAATTACACATATAATGAAACAAGTAAAAGTAAAATAAAGATCACTGTAAATAGACAGAACGATACAGAAATCAAGTAAAAAAATAATGAATCAATAAAGATTGACAAGAATAATATTCAATAAGTTTATGGAATTAATGAAGACAAAACAATTACAAGGTTAATCTTAATTAATTAATTCTGACAAATAATCTTAAAATAATATAATCTTAATGATAATTAACTATAATTAGCTTAGTTATGATCCTATAATTAATATGAACTTAAGAAAAATATGAACTCGATTAATTCCAATAAATGACTAATATAAATCAAATTACCATTCAAATTTAAAGATAACAGAGTAAAATATTACATACGAGTAAGACTTTACTAAGATACTGAGGTAGATGCTTACGTAAGAACAAGAAAACTTTACTGAGACGTTATCAACTTGTATGGATGAGAGAGCGTTATTTAACATAAGCATTTCATAACGCTTATGAAGCGTTAATTCAGCATTTCAGAGAGCATAATTCAGGAAACAGCTAACGTGTGTTTGTCGCGTTAGTACATTGAGGGTGTTCCTTGATGGTGTTCCTT